CTGACTTGCCGACCAAACCTCCTGCCGACTGACCTCCCACAAACTTCACCAAAAGAACACAAGTCACTTGGAACTCTACCGTCCAAACCGATACAAGTTTAGGAATTTTCGCTTATGTTTAAATAAGATCAAAGTTTAAGCGATGAAAGATAAGTAATTTGTTTACAGGTTTAAGCGTATTTTGCTAAAGTAAATAAATACTAATGCGAAAGTAAACGGGCGATTTTCGTCCGTTCACATCACCTAGAATTGCGTTAACTTTGTTTTGATATTTAATTTCAGTTATTTAAAATTGATCGAGTCTAATTTGTACAAAAAATCCAAATATTTTTCGAAAGAATCGTAGTTTAAATACTCAAAGTAAGTCTTATTAACTATTCACAGTTAAAATCGTCTTTTAAAAAAAGGCAAACACGGTGGAATTTTGAAATTTATTGGTGCTTTTGTTGTTAATCTTGGCTTTGAATAACGTCATACAACGAAGGATCTTCGGAAATTTCGGGCAGTTAGTCGGAAGAGTCGACGTAAACCGAGCGGCAAAATCGACCCGACGAAAGGTTTTACCGCTCGGGTTACTTCGTCTCGTCACGATTAACTGCCGCTGCATCCCCAAGGATAACAACGAAGTTGAGCAAGTATTAGAAAAAAAAAACGATGAGAAACGTTTCCTAGATTTAGTTTGTTTAAGACGTAAAGATGAACAATTGGCCTACGAAATTAAAAAAAAATTCGAAATATATGCTTGGTTTTAGAAGTTGAATTTATAGTTTTGAAATGCAATTTTGATAATTAGCTTACAGTTTATGTACCTAGTCAAAAAATAAAGCTTCCGCGGTAAATCTCAGGTTTTGGAAATCAAAAAAATGAGCAATTGGCACTAAGTAAGTTAAAGAAGATAATTTGGTTTCATCAACTGGGTTGATAATGTGAATTGACCACCGTAAAGAGATTCGAAAGCTGACGTTTCGATCGTTAGCCCTTCGTCGGAGTGAATCCAATTCGCTCCGACGAAGGGCTAACGATCGAAACGTCAGCTTTCGAATCTCTTTACGGTGGCCAATTCACATTATCAACCCAGTTGATAAAACCAAATTATCTTGTTATRCTCCCCACCGACACAGCATCACAGTTTCTTTAGAAACTTACCCC